TGAGACAGTGCAGATGACAGAGACAACACGTGGCATCCCTCTATCACTCTGCACTATCTGTACCACACACCCCAAAACAAAGAAATTCAAGGTCAGCCTTAACTATACAGAGTTCAAGGTAGTCTGGGCTACACAAGACCATCTCCAAAAAATACTCTTCAGAGGAGGCATGGTGGCTCACATCTGTAATCCTAGCACTCTGGAGGTAGAGGCAGGAAGATCAGAAGTTCAAGGTAATCTATAGCTACAGATTCAGTCTGAGGCCACCCTGGACTACATGAGACTCTGCCTCAAAAACAAAAAAAAAAAAAACAAAACAAAAGATTTGAGCCAGAGTTCCTAGACTAGAATCTCTGTAAGGAAAGACATTTCTTAAAACACTTTTTATACAGAGTGAGCACACTGCATTGACTACTAATTAGTAAACCTAGGAAAGTAGACAAGATACTTGAGCTAGTCATAATTCAGAGAAAATAACTTAAACATTATTATACTTACCTAGACTGGTCTGTCTTCCATTATCTGAACAAAAGTAATACCTAAGTGCAGAAACACATCTAACCAAATTTATCTCCTTCAGCAATTTCAAGAATAAAGCATCCCTCTAGCACCTAAAAGGTGAAAGTAAAAGGATAGGAAGTTCAAGTCTATGCCAAGCTACAAAAGACTGTCTCAAAAATAAATAATACATACATACATACATGCCCAGCATGGTGGCACACGCCTTTAAACCCAGCATTGTGAAATCAAGGCCAACCTGGTATGTACAGGCTAGCTGGGCCTACAGGGAGACCCTGTCTCAAAAAAAAAAAAAAAAAAAAAAAAAAAAAAAGAAATGGAAGGCTGGGCATGGTGATGCACACCTTTAGTCCCAGCACTTGGGAGTCAGAGGCAGGTGAAGCTCTGTGAGTTCAAGGCCAGCCTGGTCTACACAGCAAGTTCCAGGCCAGTTGGGGCTACAGGGAGACCCTGTCTCAAAAAAGAAAAAAGAAAAGGGAGGGAGGGAAGGAAGGAGGGAGGGAGGAAGGAGAAAAGAAAGAAAATCATCCCAACCTGAGGAAAAGACTCAGTGGGTAGGAATGCTTGCTCCCTAAGCTTGACTGAGGACCTGAGTTCAAATTCCCTACACTCACACAAAAAGCTGTACATGGCTGTATATGCCATTAACCCCAAGATTTCAGGGGCAGATAGCTGAATCCCAATAGTTCCATGGTCAGCCAGCCTGGCACAAACAGTAACCTTCCAGTGCAGTGAGAAATCCTGTCTCAAGGCTGTAAAACAGAGCAAAAGAGGAAACCACCCCATGCCCCGCTCTAGCTTTAGCATGAGTACACACAAAAGAGTACACAGAACACTTGTGTATGTACCACACAAGCACAGACACACACAAGTAATAAAAAATAAATAAAGGTATCCAAAATCCATAAGGAGTGGCATGGGTCTTTATGCATAATAAAATTGTCCTAATTCCAGAGCTGGAAGCTTCCATACTGTCAGAAGTAGGTATAAGGGGCTGGAGAGACAGCTCAGAGGTTAAGAGCACTGGCTACTCTTACAGAGGACCTGGGTTTCATCGCCAGCATCCACATAGTGGCTAATAACTGTCCTTAACTCCAGTTCCAGGGGATCCAAGGTCCTTTTATGGCCTCCACAGGCATGAATGCCCACATGCACTTATATGCATGCAGGCAGAACACTAATACACATAAAAATAAATAAATCAAAAAAAATTTTAAGTAGGTATAAAATTCAGGTTACAAACATCTAAACTGAGAGTGTAGCTCTGTGGTAGAGTACTTGCTTAACACATTCCAGGCCCTGGGCTCCATCCTTGGCATTGAATGAGAAAAAAGGATTCTCTAAATTCTAAGCAATAAAAAAATAAAAGGAAATTGTTTTATCAATGAGAAACAAATTGAGACACTCTCCCTGCTCTGGGCTGCAGGAGGCCAGCCTGCTCTATGTGGTGAGACCATGTCTCAACAAAAAAGATGAACTGCCACTACTGTCCCAGAGGTTTTCATCTTTGTTCTCTTACAGCTTTGGAAAACAAAAACAGAGAAAGCTTTCAGCCTTAAGCATAGCAGTTTTTACTACACAGTTGTTGGCGGGGGGGGGGGGGGGGGTTTTAAATATATGGGTTTTTTTTCCCCCAATTTGTGCGAGAGGAATGGTCTTGGAGTCAAACTAGCTGGGCCTCTGGAACAGACGCTTCACCACAAAATTAGAGAACTATTAATGTAACTGCTTCAAGTGTTCCTTTTCACCCACTGTATTATGAATGAGATGTTTATCCTGACATATTTTTTCCATTTATTTATTTATTTTCGTCTTTTTGAGACAGGGTCTCCCTGTAGCCCCAGCTGGGCTGGAGCTGGCTATGTAGACCAGGCTGGCCTTGATCTCAGAGATGTGCCTGCCTCTGCTGGGATTAAAGGTATGTGCCACCATATATGGTTGACATCTCTATTTTTAAGTTCCTGTACTGATAATGTTGAAACCACATCCAATGTACAAAAACTCTTCTCTTTCTTTTTGTGTATGAGTGTATTGCCTGCATGTATTTAAGTGCATCTGGATCATGTAGTGCCCCTGTAGGCCAGAAGAGGGTGTCAGATCCCCCAGAACTGGAGTTACTGACAGGTTGTTAGCTGCCATGTGGATGCTGGGAAGAATAAGTCCTCTGGAGGAACAGACAGTGCTCCTGACAGCTGAGCCATCTCTTCAGTCCCCAAATACTCTTCTTAAAGTCATCTTTCAGTCAGGTATGGTGGCAGGCACCAATAATTCCAGAAGGATCACCTCAAGTTCACCAGCCTGGGATACAGAGTGGGAGTCTGTCTCCAAAAAGTCTTTCACATATAGAATCCATCATTTCAATAAACTAAAAACTTTTAAAAAAATCATTTATTAGCCGGTCATGGACCTGTAGTCCCAGCACTTGGGAGACAGAGGCAGGCAGATCTCTGCGAGTTCAAGGCCAGCCTGGTCTACATAGTAAGTTCCAGACCAGCTGGGGCTACAGAAGACCCTGTTTCAAAAAGACCAAAAAATTAAAATAGTGTGTATTTTGGGCCAAGTGTGAGACTGAGGACAACCTGTCTACATAGTGAGTTCCAGGCCAGCTGGGGCTACAGGAAGATCCTGTACCAAAAAACTAAAAAACAAAATAAATACTCCAGTATTTCAGGCTTATTTCCTTATTGACCAATATAAAACTGCTCTAAAAGATAAAGCCTTTTGGTTCTCTCTCTTGGCAGCTTGTACAGTGATGGGCTGTTGAAAGTTCATATTGTTTAGTTTTAAGAAGTCTATCCAAATGGGATATCCAAATGGGACTGGAAAGATGGCTCAGCTGCTAAGAACTCTTCCTGCTCTTCTGGAGTACTTCAGTTTGATCCCCAGTGCCCAAAAGAGGCCCACAACCAGCTTCAGGGGATCCCACACCTTCTTCCAGCCTCCAAAGTGCACCTACACATACATGCATACACACACATATACACATACATTTTTTAAAAATATTTTTTATTTCATGTGTATGAGTGTATTGACTGAAAGTTATATAAGTGCATTCGTGTCCTGCAATGCCCATGGAGGTCAGAAAACAGTGTCAGATTCCCATGGAACTGGAGTCAAGGTCGGTTGTTAGCCTCCATGTGGGTGCTGGGAATTAAACCCAAGTCCTCTGCAAGAGCAGTCTGTTCTCTTAACCACTGACCCATCTCTCCAGCCCCGTAAGTTTTTTAATTAAATGAATCTTTCAAAAAAGGAAGTTTATATAAATGGGGCATTTGAGAGTTTCCCAATAGGCTACCTACTTCAACAATAACCTGGCTCAATTTTCTGACGCATTACTTACTTGATAATATCGTTAGGAGAAACAAGGTAAGAACGTTTATATTAGTAAAGAGATGCAGTCAAGATTCCTACCTTTGTTTCTACTTTTTGAGTAAATGCCATAATTCTAAGCAAGAGTTTGTAACCATGCAGGGTTTGTAGGAAACCAGGCTAGCTAGTCTATCACCTATGATGTTGGTGCAGTGTGTCAAGTTTGGTGGCACACACCTTTTAGTCCCAGCACATGGGAAGCAAAGGCAGGTTGCAAAGCCAGCCTGGTCTACATAGTGAGTTCCAGGCCAGTTGGGGCGAGAGAGAGGGAGAGAGAGAGAGAGGGAGAGAGAGAGAGGAGAGAGAGAGAGGGAGAGAGGAGAGGAGAGGAGAGGAGAGGAGGAGAGAGAGAGAGAGAGAGAGAGAGAGAGAGAGAGAGAGAGAGTTTAAAGTTTAACGTTCAGACTTAAAGGGTACTCTAACTTTCAAAGCGAATAAATTTGTTATCCAAAAAGGCTCAGAACTAAGAGAAAAATGTGGACACAAGCTATTATTGTAATCTGATATTCAAAGCAAGGTTTGCACCCCGATCTGTCACTGCAAACTGCTAGCTGCTGCACAGAGTAGGGCTGAGAAGCAACTGCAGAGGGTGGTGGTCCGGCAGGGGAGCGGGTGGAGTTGGGACTAGCCAAGCCTGTCCAGCTTTGCGCTCTGGGAGCTTCAGCAACCGCCAACCCAAAGACTACCCAGCCGGGGCGCCACCTCGACCTGGGTGGAGCCACCGGGGCGCCGGCTTCGCGGCCAGCACCGTCTCTATGGTGCGAGGACTGAGGTGCTGAGGACACGGGCCGTGTCACTGTCTACACTGCGCGGCGAGGACCCGCGTGGCCGTCCTCCTCGCTCCGGCCTTCCCGACTGCGAGGCCCGCAGGCTTCCTGAAGTGAGGCTTTCCAAGTACGACCAAGTTCGAAGCGCCCGCTGCGGGCTGGGGAATTTCGAGGTCACTCGGCGGCAGCCGGGAGCAGAAGGAACGGGTGGTGAGGTACACGGCCCAGACCGGACCCGACCGGATAGGACCAAGTCGGGCGAGTGGCCGCGTCCCAGTCGCCGACTCCGCTCCGCCCCTGCGCCCGCCCGCCCGAACTGTGATGCGAAGACGGCGCGCCACTTACCGCCGCAAAGAGATTTACGTAGCGGACTCGTCACTGATTACGAACTGGAGGAGGTGGGGACGCCTAGCCTCACCGCGGCTCAGAGCGGCCCCACGTCGCGCCCACGTCAGCTCTGATGCGGTAGTCGCGGACTCCTCGCAGACGCGAACCAAAAGCCGCGGAGCAGCGGACAGAACCACGTCCTAGAGCCCCGCCCTCCCTTCCCCCACGGCCACCGCGGGAGGTGGGGGGGACGGATTGGGGGAGGTGCGGGCTCAAACTCTGCCCCCTGCCGGCCTGCCGTGGGATTGCAGTGTTGACAATCCAACAGTCCTGTAGAGCGGGGGACGGGGGCGGGACTGGGCGGGGACGGGGGCCTGGGCAGTGAGCGGGGTTATGGGGGATAGGGCGGGGCTTGTTTGAGGAGCTAGTCTGGATAACCAGAAGATAGGGTGCGGGAAGCCGCAAGCTGCGTCCACTACGCGTGCGTCGAGAGGCCCATTTTACGCCAACTAAGGCAATGAAGGCTTGCGAAGCTTCCTCCCAGGCCATGTCATTCCCAGACAGATGTTTAGGGTAGCTACGGCGATTAGTCTCAGACCCCCAGGGAGGAGGTTCAGTCCGGAACAGAGGCTCCTACTCCCCTCCCACTGGGCGGTGTTCACGGTCCTGGAAGACCCCTTCCGGCCCCGGGGCTTCCTCCCCGGGGACTTATCTGCCTCCAAGTCGCCTAAAACAGCGATAGACCCCTACGTTGAAGCGTGATAGAGGAGAATAGGTGTTTTGGTTAAAAGGAAAGCTAAAAAGCTAATTATAACGGAGAGTTGAGACAGGGTCTCCCTGTAGCCCCAGCTGCCCTGGAGCTCGCTATGTAGACCAGGCTGGCCTCAAACTCATAAAGATCCTCCTGCCTCTGCCTCCCAAGTGCTGGGATTAAAGGCGTGGGCCACCACACCGGGCTTCTAACGGAGAGTTTTAAAGGAAACCATAGGCTTTTGCATAAGGGATACATTTGTAGCCTGTGATGCAGTCCTGTTGTAAACTATTGTGGAGCAACCTGAACTTGATAAAATCAGGCAGGACTAGCCCACTGAAGGGAAGGGCGTTCAGCCCAAAAATAAACCTCTGTGCAGTACAGGGAAAACTAAAAACTAAGCCAAAACTTTCAAGACTGCTGGTCTGGAAATCACTAATGAAAAGTTGCTGAGGAAAAAAAAAATGCATATAACAAGGTAGCTCAAGTCAAATGACAGAGTACTTGGCCAAAGATGTATCAGCCGCAGAGCACATATTTAGGTGCCAAACTCAAGACCCAGCGTTTTGCGTTTTGTTGACACACACACCCCCACCATGGATGCTGGGGGTGGAGCTGAGAGGAGTTACCCTGTAGAGTGAGAAAATCCTGCTTTTAACTTGGTTTGGGGCAACCGAAACTACTTAGCATTGTAATGTATACAAACAAGTCAGAATAAAACCGGATCAGTTTACTTAACAGTTTTGACAAGGCCAGGATTCTAAAGTTCTGCTTTCAACGTAACAGACATTGCCTGCCATCACCTTTGTAATTTTAATTTTTTATTGAAATTTTTGTGTATTTCATACAGGAAATCATCTTTATATGCCCTTCCCCTTTGACACCCTCTCATAGCCCCTCCACTGGAGTTCATACGTTCTGTCATTTGTTAGGGCCTATCATAATGTCCCCTGATGTCCCTCAGTGCAAGTTCATCCACTGGGATCTAGTCAGCCTATCTAGAGTTGTTCCCGTTAAGAAAATCAGTTCTTCCTACCCAGCAGTAATCAGCTGCCAAAAATTCTTTCACTAGGATTGGGGTCTCTGTCCATTTCCACAGTTCTGTGCTGAGTTTTTGTCTGCTTGAGTTTGCATTGGGTCTTGTGCATTCTGACACCATTGCTGTAGGTTCCTACGAGAAGAGTCCCGGGAGGCTGTGGAACTCAGTAATTATCTCAGTGACTAGTATACTTGTTTATAAACTTAAGGATCCATTTTTGCACATGGTAAATTATATTTGTCTGGGAATGTGACAGCCATGGATTTTTCTTGAAGATCTACAACCTCTCCAGCTATGTGTCTTTGGCTAGGTTTGCAGTACCATACATGGGTTTCCTCCCATTGAGTGGGCTTTAAATCCAATTAGGTGGCTGTCGATTACTCCCAAGATAAAAACTACTGACTGGGTGTGGTAGCCCACACCTTTAGTCCCAGCAGTCAGGAGGCAGATGCAGGCAGATCTCTGTGAGTTCAAGGCCATCCTGGTCTACATAGTTCCAGGGCAGCTAGGGCTACAGGGAGACCCTGTCTTAAAAAAAGAAAGGAAAAAAAGCCAAAAATAAAAAGGGCCACTACTGCACCAATGTCGTTTGCTGTCCTGGCCATTGATGTGATTTTTAGGCCTTGAAGCTAGGGTTGGACCATTGATTGATGTACCAGCTTGCATAGTGCTCTCCAAAGCTATGAGAGCTAGCCTTCAGGGGAGGTGGCTTCCAGGTCAGTTCTAGCACCATTGCTCCAAATCCTGTGTCCAAGTATGTCCTGTCTTCAGTGATAGGGTCTTAACCTTCAAGTTCTGGGAGGCAATCAAGGGCTGTGGCAATAGCCTATATAATTTTGGGAGTCTCTTGGAACACCCTGGCCAACAACTCAAAGGAAGGTTTCTCCTATCTGACACTGTTTCTTGTTATGTAGTCTTCAGCTATACTTATGAACTCATGTAGAGATATTGTATGTGTAACTCTTCAGTAGGTTTTTGGACTAAGTTACAGAAAAATTTCATCAAGTCCTTTTTTGTATGTGTGGTTGGTTACACAGGTTGGCACAGAATGTGTTGATAAATAATATCCCTATTAATACAGGTAGTTTTAGCTAGAAAAAGGGGGGTCATTAGAAGAAAAGGAGAAAAAAAGACATGATTACTAAACCCTGGAAAATTATGCTGTTAATTGCCGTTAAGGTTGACTGTATGCTAGGTGATGACATCGTGAGTTACCATAGATTTAGGAGAAAATGTGATTATTCTTTTTCATCTACTTATTCCTAAAGTTTGTTTGTTTGGGTTTTTGTGTTTTTTTTTTTTTTAGGACAGGGTCTCCCTGTAGCACCAGCTGGCCTAGAACTGGCTATATAAACCAAGCTGGCCTCCATCTCATTGAGATCCTATGGTGTTAGCCACCCAAAGTGCTAGGATTAAAGGTGTGAGTCACCAAGCTTGGCAAATTATGATTTCTTATTTGCATTTCAAGACCTGTATTTTGTTGATTCTAATTATTTAAAGGACATATCTTTGTTGAAGAAATTTAGGACTAGACTGTAGTGATGGTACACATCTTTAATACCAATTTAATCCCCACATTTGGGAGGCTATGGCAGGTGGAGCTCTGTGAGATGAAAGCCAGCCTTGGTGTCCAGGCCAGCTGGGAGACTCTGTCTTTTTTAAAAAAGTGATAATTTATATGCTAGGATATAAATGTCTTAAATCCTTGATAGCAGGAAAACAGCATTAGGGAAAGCATTTCTGGGTTCTGCAGGTAAGACAGGAGATAGATAACCAGGAGATACAGGTTGTTTCCTTATGGCTTCTATAGCTAATAGCTAATTACAGTCAGTTTCATGGCATAAAACAACAAAAATTTATGAATGTGGTTGTGCATGCCTTTAAATCCAGCACACAGGAAGCAGAGGGAGATGAATCTCTGCATCTCTGTGAGTTCCAGGTTAGCCTGGTTCAGCATAACAAATTCCAGGACAGCCAGGGCTCTATAGTTAGACACTATCTCAAAGGTAAACAAAGCTATCTGATAGCTCAACCATTAATGTGGGCCTCACTGTTCTGAATCCAATGGCTGTAGCAGTGAGCTCATTCTCCTCCTGTTTGCCTTCTGGAGGTCACTTGAATTCTTTTACTCCAGGGCCTTCCGTATTCAAAGCCAGAAGCAGCTACTAAGACTCCTGATTTCCTCTGCCTCCTTAATTGTAAGAACTCTCAGGGTTGTATTGGACTCATTCTGATAATCCTAATAATCTCTTCTAAAAATCAGCAAATTGGTAACCACTTGGAAGACAGAGACACAAGGACCAGGAGTTCCAAACCAGTCTGAGCTGCATGAGACTGCATAAATAAACAAAGTCCACAATGTCTAGAGGGATTGGGAACTAAAGAATCAAAGGTGGAGGAAAGGAACTATGACTTCCCTTTGGAGGTCAGAAGACAACTTTTGAAGACTGGTTTTCTCCTCCCACCATGTGGATCCCAGGGTTGAAACTTAGATCATCAGGCTTTGCACCTTTACCCAATGGGCCCACTTTGTTGAGCTGAAAAATATTTTTTGAAAGGGCTGGAAAGGTGGCTTAGAAGTTAAGAGCACTAGCTGCTCTTGTAGAGGACTCGGGTTCGATTCCCAGCACCACATGGTGGCTAAAACTGTCTATAACTCCAGTTCCAGGGGATCTGATGCCCTCTTCTGACCTCCAAGGGCATTGCACCACACGGGTGCACTTAGGTACATGTAGACAACTTCATTGTTGGAATCCCAGGGGTAAGCCACCACACCTGGCTCAACTTTTGAATTTTTTTGTTGAATGATTCTTTACATGTTTTAAAAATGCAATTATAATGAAAAAAACAGTGATATTTTATTGGCTAATAAAGGCCAAATATCTTAGTTCAGCATTAAGTCCTTCAAGTTTTAGGTACACCCCTCAACTGACTGTTACTTCCTCTCTTTTTCTATGCTGGGTTCTCACAAGGGCTACACAGGGGACTTACTGAAAAACTTATTAAAAAGACGTGTTTCCAGGCCTAAGGCCCTGCTTTATCTAGGACTCAGAATTCTCAACACAAGGACAGGTAAATCTACCCTTTTGTTTGTTTGCTTATTTGTTTTTCTGGCGCCCAAGCTGAGTTCAAATTCTTTTTGTAACTGAGGCTGACCTTGAATCCCTGATCCTCCTGCTTCCACATTTTATGCACTATGACCTCAGGATCACACCTGCCTCCCTAGTGATGGGATTAAAGCACTCCCATGCCTGCCTCACCTAATCCATTAAATCTACCTCTTGTAAAAACTCCAGATCACTCTAAAGAACTGTAAGATTTATCCCCTCCCCTTCACCACTGTAGCTAATCCTTACACATGTTAACCCATAGAAATGCCTGGAATTTTCCAATCTTTGTAGCCTTTTACTCTCCCCATTTTCACACCAATTAGTTGTATCTGCTTGTAAAAAATTTATGATCCTGC